GATGACCTATCTACGTCATCATATACCCAGAATGCTTTGTGTGGAAATAAAATGGCTCAGTCTGTGTTAAAATATATTTTTAAAAATTTACAAAACTAAACAGCCTAGAGTATTTTTACAGTCTTTATTTTACAGTTAAAATAAATGTTTATCACATAAAGTCTAACATTACAACTAATCATGGATCCCTTTAAGGCTCAGATGAGTCCTGGGTTCAGGTTTCAGGTCCTGCTGGTCTCTGGTCTCACTATGAGGGTCACATTTACTGTAATACTGATCTGAAAACAAGACAATAAGAGTGCTAACTTATGGATTTCTATACTAAAAGGGCTTACACATTAAAAATAACAGAAGAAGAAGTAGAAAACATGAAAATATAAATAAAAAGATAAAGTTTGAATTTGTTCATTTAATGAAACTCAGTTTAAATAATGGTTATACCTTTAATAATTAAATACATCAGGTTTATATTTAACGTTTAGGGAGGGTTTGGTTAGAGTGAGATTAACACACCCAAGATTACTGCTGCACAAAGCTGTTGTGTAATCCATTGTATAAAAACAGCAACAATAATGAGTATAAAAGACGTTGTACACCTTAGAGCTGGAAGGTGTTTCTTCATCACACCTGTTTGTTCACAAAAAGCAGCGTTTGTCTTTTAGAGTCAGGCCCTTTCTTAAATATTTGCACAGCTTCAGAGACACGTTCCGTCCCAACTGACCATTACTTTAACAGTTTATTTAGTCCTTATTTAAAATTAGCTTTTTATTAGCATTCCTGAATGTAACACAGCAACATTTCTGTTACTTACCTGGCTTTCTGTCTGCACCGCAGGCCTTTGGCTTTGACCCGAAGGTGGACTTCTACGTGTCCAAATCTGCGGTGGTCTTCGGGGGCTTCTACCTCTTCTTCTTCACGGAAAAGGTCCTGAAGGTCCTCCTTAAACAGAAGCATGGGGTGAGTTTACATTGTGATGATGGGCGGTTCACAGCTGAGTGTGAAACACCTGGGGTGCAGGTGAGCTCTTCTCGGTCCAAGGTGACAGGGCAACGTTCTGATCTCCACAGCATCGTCGCCTTCAGAGGTTTTCTGGGAACAGAACTCAGGGATCACAGATCCTCTCTGGTCCAGGGTTATTACAGTGAACTAAAACTAACTAAATAAACAAAACTGAAACTGAAAAAAACATTTTAGTTAACTGAAACAATTTATTTTGAGCCGTGTGAACTGATTAAACAATTTTTATTTATTAATTTTTCTTCAAATTGATCAGTTTCACATTAACTGTGGGCAGTTTACGGCACATCATGGTCCCTAACGTCACCTGTTTACAGTCTGCTGCTTAGCTTCACCTGCAAAATGACGACAACAAAAGTTGTGAGAAAGTATTAAAGTCTGATTTGGGATTTCTTTTAATACGACTGTGAGAAAATTAAAAGCGTCTTGTAGTGGAGACACGTGATAGAATAGGTGGAATATTTCTGAAAGGATTAATTAACTCAGTATGTCGACAAGCAGCTTCTCTTAAGGCCCTGTCACACTAGTCAACTTATGCCAACTTATGAAACATATTTTATGTCTAAATTGCTAATAAAAGTTATAAATTTAATCAATTTGTTCAAATTACATTATGTACACACAAAAAAGAAGCTTCCTGTTGATTTTTTTCAATTCCATTTTCAATGTAGACGTCTTTAAAATGTTCATAATTTGGCATAAGTTGTCTAGTGTGACCGGGCCTTTAGTAGTTCCTGTGAAAAATAAGCCGTAGCCCAGCCAGGCTGGTTGGTTGGTTAGTTGGTTAGTTAGTTGGTTTGTTGGTTAGTTGGTTAGTTAGTTAGTTGGTTAGTTAGTTGGCTATTTAGTTAGTTGGTTGGTTAGTTGGTTATTTAGTTAGTTGGTTGGTTAGTTGGTTGGTTAGTTAGTTGGTTGGTTAGTTGGTTATTTAGTTAGTTGGTTGGTTAGTTGGTTGGTTGGTTATTTAGTTGGTTAGTTGGTTGGTTAGTTAGTTGGTTATTTAGTTAGTTGGTTGGTTATTTGGTTGATTAGTTAGTTGGTTGGTTAGTTAGTTGGTTATTTAGTTGGTTAGTTGGTTGGTTAGTTAGTTGGTTAGTTGGTTTATTATTTAGTTGGTTAGTTGGTTAGTTAGTTAGTTGGTTGGTTATTTGGTTGGTTAGTTAGTTGGTTGGTTAGTTAGTTGGTTATTTAGTTGGTTAGTTGGTTGGTTAGTTGGTTATTTAGTTGGTTGATTATTTAGTTGGTTAGTTAGTTAGTTGGTTAGTTAGTTAGTTGGTAAGTTGGTTGGGTGGTTGGTTAGTTGGTTGGTTGGTTGGTTGGTTAGTTGGTTAGTTAGTTGGTTTGTTGGTTAGTTGGTTAGTTGGTTGGTTAGTTGGTTATTTAGTTAGTTGGTTGGTTAGTTGGTTATTTAGTTAGTTGGTTGGTTAGTTGGTTGGTTGGTTAGTTGGTTATTTAGTTAGTTGGTTGGTTAGTTAGT